ATATTTTACAGCATCCCAGAGTAAGGAATATCTTTGATTTTAGATCTAAAAAAGAAAGAAAAAAACGAAAAAAAAGGAGGCGTGGTATAATTGCCAATGGGACATCTATCACAGTCTAAGATTTGAATTTAGGCAAACATCAGTCACTGTACAGTCTTCAACAATGAATCTAACTGATATGAGATAAGCAGCTACAAAAAAAAATACTCAAACTTGACAAAATGAGTCACAATTAAAAAAAAAAAGCAACAGCAAAATGATTGACACATTGATAAACAGTTAAAATACATGCAACTGACAGCAACCAAAGACAACCTCTGAATGACAGGCTCAAAAAATTGGACAAGTATTCAAGAGTGGCAGGGCTAGATGTATTTGCTTTCACCTAAACCATTCCTTAACATGGGACAAGTGATAACATGTGAAATACAAGTTAAAACACGTAATCTTTATTTATTAAAACACATTAATAATATCCACTTTAATAGTATGAAGATTAAGTAGTAACAATACAATTACTGTAAATAATGAAAATAAAACTACTAATTATACAAACGATTGATAGTATGCGTACATGTACCTATCAAATTGGCTTTTTCATATTATTAATTTGCTATATCATCAGTGTAACTTGAAAAAGAAAACAAATATATAGATAGTGAAATATGCTAACTTATATGTAGGGAATTGAACATTATTTTTATAGAATATATTAGGTATACTTTCGTAAAATAGAGCAACCGTAAATAAAAATTAAGACATGTGGAATAATTGCAAATTAGACAACTTTCCACCAAAGCTCCAATGAAGTTGATGTTAGCAATAAATAGGCAACCGTAAGGCCTCAAACAATGAGAAACGTATTGTCAACTATAAAAGGGCCCGATATGAAAAATTTGAAACAATTTCAATTGAAAAACTAAGTCTATACACAGATTAGTCAATTAGGATAGAAACAAACTAAAGACAAAAAAGCAAAATGCCGTCTTAAACAAAAGACAAAAGTGTATATTGATATGCCAAGCTCTAAATCGTCTTGCACTATGTATAAAAAGTAAAATCACAAAAATTCAAAACGGAAAGTCCCTAATCAAATGGCAAAACCAAATGATAAAACACATCAAACGAATAGACAACAACTGTCATATTCCTGACTTGGTACAGGCATTTTTGAATGAAGAAATGGTGGATTGAACCTGGTTTTAAAGCGCTAAACCTCTCGCTTGTATGACAGTCGCATCCCCGAATTGATTTACTTATTAACATCAGCTAAAAAGTGTTTTCGTGTAATGAAAGGTTTCATTCCCATGAAAAGACAAAAAGGAACAAAATAATCATGATAATTCGAAGGTTAAGATTAAGTTAGGGCAACAAACGCGAAAGTTTCTCAAAATCAGAAAACTAAATAAACGAACAGATAAAACGTATCCGATAAGTTACACTTCTGTAAATATAGACAAATCAAATCCCTATAGGAAATCCTATTATGGCTAAAACTTTGCCACTTTTATCTTGAAGTTTCGTGAAACAATTATATTCTTAAATGGGAAATTTAAATGCACTATTCTTTTTTTCATGGGTCGAAGCATAGGGTTGTGTGGAATATGTTCGACATTTATACTACATATCCCTTTACTTTATGTCTTCTTCATAATACAATTTTACCGCTATGTGCATGTTATCAGATAACATACCCAAATTATCTCTCTGTGAGATAAAACATACAGACCATAATTGGGAACCAGTACGTAAACAAAACAAATTTTATGACTATAACATACCAAAAGAGGCGTTGTTGTGAAACAGCTGTATTTACAAAGTGCAATCTGTGTTGAGACTGTTAAGGGAGAGTTAATCTAGAACTGTACTGATTTTCATTTTCTGGCAGGATGGTTTCTGAAATATTCAGATTGAACTGTATTGTGACATAGACATACATACTTTGATTATAAAGTCGATCTCGATATATTACGCTAGAGCAACACAAAAAAGCTAAAAAAAAAATTAAAAACCTTTTGAAAATTAAATAAAAAAATTTTCAGAAAAAACAAAAAAACTTCGAGATTTACATTTATCGACAGATTGATGAATTGAATTTTATTAAAGAAAATTTACTTTTTTCTAGGACTATCAAAAGTAATCAGTGAAGTTATTTATTTGAGATATAATCCCAGTAGCACAGTCAGACTTGCGTCAACGTATTAAATGTACTTAAACTCGTACAGTTTTGTAAGTTTCGAAACCAGTGGAATTTTAGTGAAAACTATATGTGGTAAGTATAATTTCAGTATCTGCCCGTAGTGTTTAAATATGAGATTAATATCTAGAGCTATCTTTCATTGATCATCAACAGCTGTAGTTCAACTATTCTTCATTCGAAAATTTAAAAAAGAATTAAAAAAAACATTTACATATGAAAATAATCGTTACATAAATCAACTTTGAGGACTAATACTGCACAATCTGCAAATTTATTTGGATATTACTAATGCCTTCGCGTCAACATACAACGGTTAATATATTATATAAGTATACCTTTAAAACTCTATTAGCTAATGCAGTTAATCCTGTAAGTGTAAACACCGTGATGCATTGCATGATGACTATATTATCTGTTGGAATCGTTTTACACTTATACTGGGGGTATTGTCATTTAGCTTATTATTGATTATTTCATGTAAGCATAAAACGTATCACCCATACTAAATCATTACACGATTAATAAAATATTGTATCAATCATAACAATGCGAACTAAAAATAGTAACGCAACTTCTATTTTTAGTTTTAATATGCATTATATTTTTTAAAAGTTATAATCGATGCTTTGATGCTTTCTGCCAACATTATTAAGTCTACTTTTTTTTTAACTTATTTTAAATGCCTGAACATTTAAATAACTTACATTTTTCAAGTATGTTCCCACGTTTAAGAAACAGTATGATACATATATTTACTCATTATACACAACTAATCGTTATGACTGATCATGCGCAGTGCTGGTATTTTAAACAGGTAAGATTATATCCAAATGGTTTTATCCTTGTTTTCCGATACAGTGTATGTCGATTTACATTTTGGATTAGATTATTTTCTAATATAAGTATGTATAATTTTAATGTATTGTTTATTCTATAGAATGTCATTGAGTATTTGTCAGTGAGTGTCTGCTTTTGATATTTGGTACAACCTTTGTGTTTATTTCATTGGCGTTAATAATGTGAGAACAAATTTTGAGCGTATTGAATCCCTGTAATCAACGATTTTATGACAAACAGGTTGTGAAATTTATTCGTACAAGGTACCTGAAGTTTTAGTTTTATTGAATTTAATATATGTTCTGTCTTGTAAACATTAATGCTTTGTTGTCTTTATTATCGAACATTTAAATGAATTATAGATATTATGATCAATACTATGTTTAGAAAAACGTTGTATTAGATGCAGTACTGTAAATCTTAAAAGAAGTCATTACTTTCATTTTGTCAAAACAATGCCTTGAATATCTTAAATCAATCTAATTATTCTTAATCTTTTAACCTAAAACGTCTGATCATGACTAAATGGTTTTTTGTCTTCTTTTTAAATCTTTTGACCGGTCCAATCACTTTCTCAATGTGTCTTATCGCTTTATATTAAAATTTGTCTAAAACTATTCTGAACACTTTCCTTTGCCCCCATTCATTACTATACAATACCAAAAACTCGTCCGTGAACCACAATGGAATTTCAACACAGATAATTTGAACTTATTATAATTAATCGCTTCAATTAAGGGACATTATTTGAGTTGAATGTAATGATTCAGAACGATTCACGCTTTTCAAACAAGCCATATATAACAAATTCATATGTAAGATTTTGAATATCTTATTGACTCACATTGTATTGGAAATCATATTTTGAACTATGGATATTTGTTTTGCCTGTTTAATGTACATGTATCACGATTTTGTGATCTTTTAGTGCAAGTTCTTAACCTCTTTATCTATACATATATTTTACTCTATCAAATGACCAAATGTTCTTATTTTCTATAGCATAAAAGACACGTACTTAATAAGGGGCAGGCGGAGGGGCGTGGTGGGGGATTTACAATATTTAACCCTCATTCCAATAGTTATCAAATGTTCAAGTCTTATAATTTAATACGCGAGACGCGCGTTTCGTCTACATAAGACTCATCAATGACGCTCAGATCAAAATAGCTATAAAGTCAAACAAGTCCAAAGTTGAAGAGCATTGAGGACCTAAAATTCAAAAAAGTTATGCCAAATACGGCTAAGGTAGTCCATGACTGAGATAAGAAAATCCTTAGTATTTCGAAAAATGCATCATTTTGTAAACACGAAATTTATAAATAATGATCATATAATTGATGTTCATGTCAACATCGAAGTGCTGACTACTGGGCTGGTGATACCCTCGGGGACGAAACATCCAACAGCAGTGGCATCGATCCAGTGGTGTAAATAGTTATCAAAGGTACAAAATGTACCAGGCTTATAATTTAATACGGCAGACCCGCGTTTCGTCTACATAAGACTCATCAGTGACGCTCAGATCAAAATAGTTATAAAGCCAAACAAGTACAAAGTTGAAGAGCATTGAGGACTCAAAATTCCAACAAGTTATGCCAAATACGGCTAAGGTAGTCCATGACTGGGATAAGAAAATCCTTAGTATTTCGAAAAATGCATCATTTTGTAAACAGGAAATTTATAAACAATGATCATATAATTGATATTCATGTCAACATCGAAGTGCTGACTACTGGGTTGGTGATACCCTCGGGGACGAAACATCCATCAGCAGTGGCATCGATCAAGTGGTGTAAATAGATATCAAAGGTACCAGGCGTATAATTTAATACGGCAGACGCGCGTTTCGTCTACATAAGACTCATCAGTGACGCTCAGATCAAAATAGTTAAAAAGCCAAACAAGTACAAAGTTGAAGAGCATTGAGGACTCAAAATTCCAACAAGTTATGGCAAATACGGCTAAGGTAGTCCATGACTGAGATGAGAAAATCCTTAGTATTTCGAAAAATGCATCATTTTGTAAACAGGAAATTTATAAATAATGATCATATAATTGATATTCATGTCAACATCGAAGTTCTGACTACTGGGCTGGTGATACCCTCGGGGACGAAACATCCAACATCCAGCGGCATTGATCCAGTGGTATAAATAGTTATCAAAGGTACCAGGCTTATTATTTGATACGCCAGATGCGCGTTTCGTCTACATAAGACTCATCAGTGACGCTCAGATCAAATCAGGGAAACAAAATGTATTGCCATTGAAAACAAGTATTCCGTACAGTTCGTTTAAAGTTGTCGAAGAAATATCTTTCGCGAAAAAATGTCATGAAAAAAAAACTAAAATAATTAATCAGTCCCCTTCATAAACTAAGTTGATACAACGAATTACTCAAAAAGATACTTTTATAGATATATATATATATAACGTAACTGCTGTCGATTACTTTATTCGGTAAGGATAACACATGTGGTTTAGTTTCAAAGATAGTCTGTTGCCCCGTACACTGTACTACCTTTAACATTATTTGAGTAATGGAGGTCTACAAAATATGTCAACCATAATGGCCCTATATGTTACTCAATATACGCCGTGTTGCTTAAGTAATACACTAGTATTAATAAAAACCTAGTCAAGGTAAAAAGGAAATCATGATTTCATTCTAGTGACATAATTGAGTAGCGTACGGGTAAAGTGTCTCATGAACGTTGTAAATGTATATGTATATAATAGTCTGTGGTAAAATATTTGTGTTTGGCAAATAATATGACCATGAATTTTATTAGTTGTTATTGGTTTTGAACTAGCTGTGAGTTACTGCGAGTACTCTTAGATCTGTGTCTTTTTGTTGTTTGTATGTACAACCACCTGGCCATGCCCCGTCTGTGTTTTTGTTACATGTATATTCTATATAAATTTTTGGATGTAAGACGCATTCTGATATGCAAAATTTAAACAAGGTATAGTCTTAGCTGTACGTAGACAAAATAACAAAATAAAACGCTGAAATAAAGGAATCATAACGAATATATCCAGGAATAATTCAAATATCTACAATTAAAATATAACTGAACTTCATTCCCAAATTTGATGGTCTTAAACGTTTTGTGATGATAATTGTATTCACATTACAGTACTAACGATTTTTAAAGTTTTAAAGGATTTCGTTATTAATAAAGTTGCATTTCAGCTGACTTCTACCTTAGTTTTTAGAAAGTCGATGAGATCCGATACATACAGAATACGATTGGTCAAGAGACTCTTTTCAATCAGCCTATCGACTTACCTGTATCATCCCGGAGTTCCATTAGTTAACAATGCGAAATTCAATATTATATTACAATCAAAGAAATGTTATCGAAAACTAACTGATTAAGACCAGCAACATTTCGTAACTAAAGGCAACAGTAGTATACCGCTGTTCGAAATTCATAAATCGATTGAGAAAAAAACAAATCCGGGTTACAAACTAAAACTGAGGGAAACACATCAAATATAAGAGGAGAACTACGACACAACAGAAACACAACACTAAAATGTAATTTGCTAAATTTCCCGTTAAATCCACAGCTGAAATATAGTACCCCCTGTCCATTTTTATTTTGTATGACGCCACATTGATCAATGACGTTGACGAGCAAAATCATTCATGAAGTTTATCGGATTGTTAATTCATTTAAAATTCATAGGTTTTAATTTGATATTTAACGTATCAAATCTATTTGTAATCCATTAGAATAGGAATTTATTCTTTGCATTATTGTTATGCTTTATAAAACCCAAACCATTTTTACTATTTGTTTACATGGTCGGGTACATGCATTACGGCAGATATGGAATACGTTGCTATGTTACACAGTCATGATAGTACCGTAAAATCTCGTTAAATTTTCCTGGCAATATTTTGCACGACATGATGTGGCCGTACCGTTTGTTTGAGCGTAGAGTTAATACAAGCGTATTCTAGTTTAAGTAAAGCGGGTCAGTTAGCTTCAAACACGTTTATACGGCACTTATTTGGTAAATAATTAGGTAATTCCTTATTTGAAAAAACGAATAGTTCAACCTCAAAATCATAAGAAACCAGTATTGTAATTAAGTAGATCGGAAGCACGTGTCGTCTTCATTAGATATTATATGGTGCTGCAATCATAACAAAGTCAAGGAGCATGATTATGAAAACCATTTTTGATTGATTTTTTTTTTCATGACAAAAACAAAAATAGACGAGAAAAGTAAACACGTTTCAATCATTCTTTTTGGTAACAGTAAGTTGTTTGATCGATGAATATAGTAAAACATCTTTAAATGAATAATTCTTCAAACAAGCTTTACATTTTCAAAACAAAATCAGTAAACCATAAACACATATACCTTAAACGAGTCGAACAAAAGCGTAAAAAAATTAATTTACAGCTAACTTAATCAACTATATTTGATTATAACTTTACAAAACGTGTTAAATGAGAAATTGTATAGAAAAGTTCAAACTTTATGAACGTGTCAATTAGTTAATTTTATTCCAATACAATTACTCTTGTATGGAACTATTAAATTGTTTTATAACCTATATTTTAATCATTGTTTAGGAAAGAAGCGACTGCCGTTATGCTGCTAAAACACACACGGATATGTTTTTGGTACTTAGCATTTGGTAAGTTAAATTTTAATGAATTCATATGAATATGTCCCTTTGTTTATATAAAAATGAGAATGAAAATGAGGGAATATGTCAAAGAGACAACAACTCGACCAAAGCAATAACAGAAGGGTTCCATGGTCAGTCTAGTCTTTCAAACCAAAATTACAATTTACAGGGTTAAGCCTAAATATGGATAATGTATTGCTATATTATGTGTAGCGCTGTTTAGTACATTTGGTTTTAAATAATACATCATGATAGTTTTAATTCGTATATCTTCTTATATAAGTTTAAGATTAACCATTTGTTTTTGAAAAACATGCTATATGACTTCTTTAAATGAAAAAAGGATTTTGAAAGCGAAACCGAATCAAAAGGCCAAATAAACATGGACATTCATGGGTAGATATATTACCACAAATAGATTGAAAACAAATGACTCGTACACTTATTGATTACAAGATCTGCAAATGATTTTGAAATGAAAGAGTTTCAAGGACTTGAAATAAATATGAACTAAATTATGTATGTTAAACACAAACAATATAAACATTGATATACGACAGAAGAATGCCTTTTAAGCGAATAATGAATGTTACATGATAAATCAGTAATACCTTTTGATTTTGTTTTAACATTTAGGAAGGCATTTTGTATACCGTTCTGTGTTTGTAATTCTTATTCTATGTTATAACATTTGGCCTTTTGTACATAAAATTTTCTCCTGTATAGCATGGCCAACCGTTGATAAGTTCATTATCTGTAATTTACTGTTTATAGAATGTTGAATTGATGAGCGTCTGGCTATACACATTAATTATAACATGTATAAGCAGAATTCAGAACTATATAACTATCGCCATGTAATAATATACTTTTTTGGTCTTTTGGAAAAAGTTGTTTATTCTGTATTTAGACCCCTATACGTAGAAATTTGTTTTGCATGCACACGTACGAAAATGCGGTTTTTATCCAACGCAATCATAGGTTTGAACGTTGTTTTCAATTAAGACTTGTTTATATTTTTTCGTTTGGGCTTGTATTATATTTGCCTTCGGGTTTATATGATCCGTTCATCCTATTTCGACTCTTTCAAAATTCAAGAGTCTATCCTAAATTGAGGTAAATTATATGGTCTTCCAAATACCGTTTCGAAAATCACTGAAGAGACATTAATTGTCGAAATCTGGATATGGTGTACAAACTTTTGCACCTCATGTTTGCGGTATACCATCTTTTCCGCAAGTTTATTGTTTTCTGTTTGGTAATAAATAATTTTAAGAGCCATTTTATTACATCTTGTGATCCGTTTATTTGGTAATCGCCAATGGCAGTCAGCAGGGTTTAAGAACATCAGTTGTTCGACTTGCTAGTCAAATGCGTTTTGTTAAAGTATACTTTTTCACTTTTTTGGTCTTTTGGAAAATGTTGTTTGTGCTGTATTTATACCCCTCTACTTAGAAATTTGTTGTGCATGCACACGTATAAAAATGCTGTTTTTATCCAACGCAATCATAGGTTTGAACGTTGTTTTCAATTTAGACTTGTTTATATTGTTTCGTTTGGGCTTGTATTATATTTGTCTTCGGGTTTATATGATCCGTTCAGCCTATTTCGACTCTTTCAAAATTGAAGAGTCTATCCTAAATTGAGGTAAATTATATGGCCTTCCAAATACCGTTTCGATTCCCAACATCACTGAAGATACATTAATTGTCGAAATCCGGATATGGTGTACAAACTTTTGCACCTCATGTTTGCGGTATACCATCTATTCCGCAAGTTTATTGTTTTCTGTTTGGTAATAAAATAATTATAAGATCCATTTTGTTACATCTTGTGATCCGTTTATTGGCAATCGCCAATGGCAGTCAGCAGGGTTTAAGAACATCAGTTGTTCGACTTGCTAGTCAAATGCGTTTTGTTAAAATATACTTTTTGACTTTTTTGGTCTTTTGGAAAATGTTGTTTGTGCTTTATTTAGACCCCTGTACTTAGAAATTTGTTTTGCATGCACACGTATAAAAATGCGGTTTTTATCCAACGCAATCATAGGTTTGAACGTTGTTTTCAATTTAGACTTGTTGACTATCACCATGTATACTCACTTTAAATTAGTGACTTTTTGGACGTGAAAGATTTACATAAGCGAAAACGGAATGCAAGGCATTTCTGAAAAAAACATTAACCCTTACTAATCAACTTAAAAATTTAGTACTTTTTGTCATGAAACATCAAAGTTGCAGTTTTTTAACTTTAAGGATGTATTTAGGTGAGGTTTAGAAATTTAAGTAGATGTTCGGACTCAATTGTTTTGTTCCTTAAATACACGGTAAAATATTTTGCCCCATAACATCCATTTTTCTTTTCGTATAAGACTCCAATAGCTTAAAAAGGTCCTTTACAAAAAATTAAGCAATTTCTTGATTTCTGTTCTTTCTATTTGAGACTCAAATAATACCAAGGCATATATAAGGTAAAAGTCCAAGATAGCCTTTTCCCGTCGTTTGCTAAAAATCAAATAACTGGAAAAGGAGTTCCATAACCTATCAACATGTAAAGTTATTATGTTCCTTTACTAATGGTCGTCTGACTTATAGTATCAATTTGAAATTCTTGATTTTTTAAATTCACCTAAGTACATTCTTAAGTATTAAGAATGTGCTAAAATGAAAATTAAGCCATAGTTTTTTTTCAATGTAGCTGCGAACATGAAGTTGATACTGACAATAGGGTTTTATTGTGTTTTTAGGTTTAATTGTAACTTGTGTAAAGAAATGATAATCTTTTTTTCACGTTTTGTTTTCATATTGCAGTTAGCACATATAATGCAGCTTTTGAAATATTCGAGGGAAAAGTTATAAAGAGCACCAATACATCAGCAATCAAATTTACTTGTAAAACTTACCAACGACCAGTTGGAGATAGTATAGTGTTTCTTCTTAACGACAGAACTACAAATGTCATGCGCGTCTACGAAGGAAAATGTTATGATAACCAAGGAGAATGTAAAAACTGTACTTGTTCTTCTTCGCGCAATGAGATAACTTTCACATGGATGTATATTATGACTGTTCCCTGTCACAACTGTACATTTGGAGCTGACATGAGCTATACTGATGAAAATAAAAGAAAAAGCAGGAACGTTAACTTATACAGGGTATACAACTGCAAAGGTATTTCTAAATAACGTTGAGATACAAAATTAACATATCTTTAAACGAAGTAATATTTGACCTTCCAATCCCATCAAAATGTTGATAAGATTTATTGATTCGAGACATGTAAATGATAATTGTTCTACACTATAAATAACCAACAAAAGAAAAGAAAAAATGTATTTACATATGCAGTTTAGCGGTTTCCTGGGATTTTGTATAGGATTCGTTTTAAAACGATACAAAAAAAGTTGGTAACAAAAAGACCTTGTAATGGGATATGAAATCATAAACAACGGTTCAAGAATGATAGCATGAGTATAATGAGAACTCAATCAATTTCGAATTAAAATAATTAATAAAAGTTCCAAACCATTTCTCTATTTCATTATATGAACACAATATTATATTGTAATCTACTTGAATTAACTCGCTTATTGATTTTACAAACTAATCAACTATGTAATAATGTCTTGAAAATATAATTACATGCAAAACTAGATTTTACACAAAACAAACTAAATAGCTAACGTTAAGCCAAGTAAAGCAATTAAAAATAAGCAAACAAATTATAAGCATTGATAGCAAAACACATATAAACAAACTCAACGATTGCCTCACACTTAGATGCGAAGGTTATCATGCTATTATCCCATCATTTGAAGGAATCAACACTGCCCATCAATACATAGAATTATCGAATACATAAATGATAATTTAATATACGTTAGAAATCATAACTACCTCAATGAAGAATATAGTGTCAAAGTTAAACAATACCTGATAATTAATCCTCAAATGGTAAGACTATGAATAATTGTTAATATATCAAACTATCTTATCTGTCTTCATGTCTTCATGCTGAATACAATCAAAGGATAACTTTCTAATTACAAAGAGATTGGAGACCACACATACACATGTGATTTAAATGACCAATGAGAATAGAGAAAGTGACCAATACTGACCATCAATACGATGAATAGACATTTAAAGGGTTCACATACCAGAACTCAGGTCATCTCTTTAATTAGCATATACAGATAAACAAAACAGCATGCTTCATTATTTTATTATTTTAATCAGATTCTATTCTGTAAGTAAGTAAAATCGATCCATTAAATATGTTCAAATAAATATTTTATTATCAAAACAGTTATTTTAAAGAACAACCCTGAAAGTGAAAAACATATATATACAAACTACTGAAAATGTACCCTTCCACACATAGATGGACATCGTTGATGAGTATAAAAAACAACGGAGCAATACAAAACTGAAAAGAAAGCACTCATATATATATAAACACACATGCATATTCATGGTATATAATATACACTTACTATTCCTATCACTATTTCAATCGCTTACGATACTTATTCTTTAAATTAGAATGTGTTGCAAAATAGTTCAGAAAATAATAAATGTATCTATGACATTGACCATGTTGATGTAACGATTTAATTTCTTTTATAGGATTTGATAATAGATTAAGACTTTAAATAATGATGCATTTGCTTTAGATTTAGGGCCTCTTCAAAGGAATACACAAGAAGTTCAGCATAATACAAAGCAAGTAGAAGGTAAGAACAAATATATATGACAACATAAACACTATCATGAAGCTAGATTCGTCTACGTTGATTTATCATGTAACACACTAAGGAACGTTTATGTTTCTAGTGATACAGGTACACGATTTGTATTACAAAAAAACATTTAATTTGAGAAGATAAACGATATACTTTTTAGTTGTTATTGACTTTGAACTAGCATTCAGTTACTACGAGTGTTTTTTTTATCAGCAAAAGGTATTTTGTTTGTTTAGTCTTTTTGTTAGTTGATTGGTTTTGCTTTTAGTCGTACTGTTGAAGTTTTTATTCGCAGTTTTCAGTAAGTTTTGATGTTTTACTGTTACAACACTATCATAGATTAGAACAGGTTGTGTTCTAGCAAACACGTTTAATTTAAGTTCATTGTATATGTGCTTGATCAAAGCTAGAAGCCTGCAATTTACACGTTTATTTTATCTGTTATCATATTGTTTTTCGTTGATTGTTTTGTATATTCATCAGGCCATTGGTTTGTCCCGATTGAGTTATTTTCGTTTTTCCTGTCAGACATTTTTAATGATATGTTACGGACATTGCTCATTGTTAAAGCCATACGGTGACAAATGGATGTTAACATATTAGAATTTGTTTGCAACGTTGGTAATACAACAAAGCGTATTCTGTCACCATATAGATCATTTGATATTTTTAAATTAGTATTTTTTAAGGAATGGATTTAAGCTGAAAATAACTGACTTATATCTTACTGACTAGTGTTTAACTCCACCACATTCTCTATGCATGTGCCTGTCCGAAGTCAGGAGCCTGTAATTCAGTGGTTGTCGTTTGTTTATGTGTTACATATTTGTTTTTCGTTCATTTTTTTGGACATAAATTAGGTCTTTAGTTTTCTTGTTGTAATTGTTTTACATTGTCATTTCGGGGCCTTTTATAGCTGACTATGCGGTATGGGCGTTGTTCATTGTTGAAGGCTGTACGGTGACCTATAGTTGTTAATTTCTGTGTCATTTTGATCTCGTGTAGAGAGTTGTCTCATTGGCAATCATACCACATCTTCTTTTTTATATTTATCTCTGAATAACACACATTTAATTCAGTTAGTTATTTGACACAGTTGACACCACAATTACACGTAGAAAACTAGAATATTGCATATTTGTATTATATAAATGAGATTAAAAAAAAGGTAAGAAACTCCTTATGATTATGCAGGTATGAAAGAAGATGGCTTTGTAGTTCCAATAATATTCATCTGCGTCACAGCTATAGTCATATGCTTCATAACCACGATTTTAGTGTTGAAAAGAAAACAAATAAGGCAGCGTATTCGACCTCGAGGTAATTTAAAATGATAGATAACAACAAAACACTATCAAAGACGAACACTTCAAGTTATGTGTTGAATTTTCCACAAATATATTATTCCGTTGGACAAAGAGTACCTATACACGATGAAAAAAAACCACATGACAAAACGGTACTTAATAAAATACACTCTCTCTCTCTCTCTCTCTTGATCGATCGATCCATCGTTCGATCGAATAAATGTAACCCTTTTATTAGATAAACAATCGATATATTCGTCTTCGTTTAACAAACACTCGCATACACAGAAAATGTATGTTTTCATATCTTATTTGATTCTTATATGCAATACTTGAAAGAGGCAAATACAAAGATACCCAATTGAATCTTACATTGGATAAAGTTGTACTCATTTCTTCAATATATTTAATACACTATATGTTAAGTTAGCAAAAACAAAGGTGTCATTATCGTGATTATGAATATCTCTTTTTTTTCAGAAATTAAACAATTTTCTCTTGCACATGAATTAATGAAACATGAACTGAAATTTATTTCTTGAAATTGAAAACATAAATATGCTTTTCTTTCCGAATATAGTGAAGAAACAAGATACCGAGGAAGAGTTACTGGCCAATACAGGTATGCTGATATTAAATCCGAAGATATTATTATTTATTAAAGACGATTGTTTCAGTAACTGTATATAATGGATAACAATTGATAACATAATTTCACAGAGTAAAGAAATAAGTTCATATTAAGGAAGTTTTGTTAACTGTTTCGATATACATGATACCAGATAAAGACAGGGATACATTCATAGAATCTGTTAGATTTCTTTCACTTGTCTGTTCTACATTTTCTAATCTATGAACTATTGGCATTAAGTCAAGTCTGTGTCTGTCTTTTGAAATTTGTATTAAGGAATTTGTGAGACAATAAGTATAATAATATAAAAAGAAATACATTTTGTTTGTTCACACAAATAAAGAACATTAGTACCTTTATATAATTTGTATAAGGTTTTCTGTGTCCGTACAAATGTGTAATATATTGATTTTTACTATTTTATTGTATCAGGTTTTCAACAAACATTTAAATGACTGTCCACATTATGTGTAAACCCATTCCCACATAAGGTATTTTTAAGGGTTTTGTGTTTTTGAAGTAAAAAATCATGTTGTTTTTATCCACAGTTTATCTGCTACACTACCTACATTTTTATTTTCCCCAAAAAACGAAAAAAATTTACTCATACATGTTTAAACATAACATTAACTCAAATTTATTTCTTGAAATTGAATACAAAATTTTGCTTTTCTTTCCAAAAAGTAAAGAAAACTGATGCCGAAGAAGAACAATACATTATTTGATTTATAAAGGGATATTGTCTCAGTAAAGGTCAATAAAATATAAGTAACAAAATATAAAAAAATCAGAACAATTGGTACCAGTTTTTAGTGATAAATACTTCAAATATACAGACACGTATATTCTGCTGCATTTGCCAAAACTTTTCTGATTTTTTGGTGTGCAATACTCTTCAACTTCGTCTTTAGTTTTAACTTTGTTGATTCGAGTGTCACTGATGAGTCTTTGTAGACGCAACACGCGTCTGGTGTACAAAATTAAAAATCTAGTATCTATATAGTTTGTTAAATTAAGTTCCAATTCTTCACACAATACAAATCATATATATATTCTGTGAGTAGATTTGTTTTAATCCTTTTATTGTTTGTCAAAAACAGATGTTCAGGTAAAATGTAACTCTAATTTAGAAATCAAAAATGTAATACAAACAAACCTGTATTTTGGTTGATGTTTAAAACTCCAACAAAACGTATATTCTTCCCGTAAAATATTCGAAATCACAATTTGAAAACAATTTTACCCCAACCCATCCATATACGAGACTCGGAGTCATTTCAGGTAAGATCAATTAGAGTTTTGATGTTTCAAATATTTGATACTTTTGGATCAAACCAATCCGATGACATTGATTAGAAATATTGAGCCATGAATGTTAAAACATTTGAATAAGGTGATAAAACGGGTATGCTATAAAGTCATGGTGTACTTTGCATTAGGTTGGGAGACATATGGCTGTATAAAGTCATAATTTTCAATCATTTTGTCCATTCAAAGGAAAGTACATAAAAACTATCTTAAGAAGTAAAAAGTAAATCATTGACATTGAAAGTTCTTTGAAACTAAACAGGAGTTGCAGATTTCTCTCGTATTATCGATATAAACATTGAACTTACATCTTTATTTGTTCAATCGAAGTAAGCTTTAGTTCGTTTTCAGACATTTCTAGGTTGTTTGAACTTTACGTAATGTTTATACCTGTTGCAGTGATCGATTTTTCTTGAAACTTAATAGAAATTTGGGAATGAGTTAAAGACACTTTACGATTTAGAAATGTATTGTACTGATCAACACACAGAATATAGGCAATTTTCACATGTCGAGTATGCTTGGCCCAATTTCTTTTAAATCGTGTATAGTTGCATATAAATATTCCTGTTAAATTTTTGTAAGAAGGAATATATTATATAAGCAGATATTTGACCTGTTGAATTCCAAACATAATTAAAAACCAATTGTTCAGAGAACAATTGAAGGTCTTTCCACCCATAAAGATCTATTTTGATATGAAAATATTAAAATTTGCTTCAAAAATGTCATTTCCAGCGTCAAATGATAGCTTATTGTACGCTGATTCCAAAAATATATGGTTTCTATACATTTTTTTTTAAATAAGGGAGATAATTTGTCACTTCCGGTTTGAAAAATGTTACTTCCGGTATAATTTGAATGTTACTGATTCCAAAAATATATGGTTCTATATACTTTTATATTAAATAAGTACAAAAAATAGCTAATTCCGGTTTACACAAGGTCACTTCCGGTTGGATTTTCCAAGGTCAAATGGCTAGCAACCTAATGCAAAAAGTCCTATGGCTTTATCATGTATACATATGAGGTAAAAGCAAAGGTCAAAATCTAGAACGTCAAATTTACCTTTGACCTTGAGCTCAATTTCAAGGTCATTAACCAAGGACCTCAAATCAAAAGACCCTAGGTCTTAACTATATATGGTTAATGAGTTATATCACCGAACGCGTATTTTTAAATACAAGAGGGGAGAAAACTCTAATTTAATGTTAGCGCACACTTTAAACCAACATGTATGTGTTATGACATGTTGCAACTAACAATTTAGTAATAATATGTTGTTGATATCTTATACGGTTTTTGAAAAGAAGTGAAAATAAGCTAAAATTAAAATTTAGAATATGACCTTGACCTTTGACCTTGACCAAATTTTCTTTTTTTTTTTGGAACAAGGACATCAAATCAAAAGACCCTAGGTCTCTATCACTTATGGTTTACCAGTTAGAAATGCATATCACTTATGTCAAATGCATAAGGGGAAATAACTCTCATATGGAGTTTCCGGAACGCTTCGGTGGAAACCAAACTCAACATCCTGAAGATATAGCGAGCAATTTGGTAAAATAAATTTGTCGTAATCTTTTACGGTTGCGAAGGAGAAGTGGCCACAAGAAAAACAGTGTTTGGGGAAATAACTCTTTCAACGTAAAGTATTCTGTTAAGCGGTTGTCAGTTTCAAAAGCGTATAAACTGTTCGATATCATATACCAAATATCTAAGCGACATCTTATGAAACAACAATACTACGCAAGAAAAAAATTAGGCGGAAGAAAAAAAAAATAATAATAATCAGAACAAAATCAATAGGTCTTTCCACGGAAAAGTGGAAAGACCTAATAACTTTATTCAGAATATTCAAAAACTGTTAATAATTTTGATAACTTAACTGATTTGTAAAACATTTGTATTGTAGATAGTTGAGAACAGAAAGGATACTGACTTATGTTGAAATGAACATATTTGACAAAAAATGTTTTAGACAAGATATATATGAATATCCTTATCAATTGCTTTCAGTAGAAACAATTGTATTTGGATAAATGTTAATGACAGATCACAAGTGTTTTCGCCAGTATTTTGCATTGCAGATGTTCACCAAATTCAAACTCTCAGTCAAAATTGTAACTTTCTCCGTTGGTATCATGGTAGAACGCCCCCTTGACCGGGTCAATCTATAGACTTTAGTTGGCAGGTGTTGTATAACCGTTAAGCACCCTACTTTAAGGGGGTAGCTATAGGCCTTGGTAACACCAAAATTTCCCTCTCGTTTAATTTTTCTTATATTTACATCATTGAAAAGGTAGGAGTCTACCAAAGTCTTGGTGAAATTCACCGTTTCAATTCATGTTTAGGGTATATTGAATATGACTAGTTTTGGGGTACCCTAAAAAACGGTCGAAAACACTAGTAGGTACATATCATTGTTTGTTTTTGCACATGTTGTCATTAAAAATACCCATGACTTATAGAAGAAAAATATTTTAAAGTAAATCTGAAATATAATGATTATACCAATAGCTTGAATGTAAAAAAACATGGTTTTTAATTATTGATTTGGTGGAAATTCTGGCCAGCTCAGATAGCACATTTTTTCAAACTTTGCCAGAAAAAAATTGTCGTTTAATTCTTGCAAAACAAAAATGCATAAACATTTATTGGTTATATATCTTCAAAATAGCAAACTTTTATCGAATGAGACCGTTTGAAATTTTCAAAATCTTTAAACAATTTGGCTTTCAAGGCACAAGAACAAGTAAAATGTTCCCCCTACAAAACTTTCTACAGACTGTCTTTTCATTCTTTTATGTGCATAAGTAAAATTGTACTTACCCAATAATAATTGTAATCAAGTTTTGACAGTCTGTCACTACCTAAGTACTATCTTTTTGCTTATGTAGATTATCTATTTGCATAAGCTTGTACTAGGATTAATGTTCATATCATATCTTCTAGAATAGAGCCTTTTATATTTGAAAAAAAACAAAGACCTGCAGCTAAAGTTCAAACTCTGTATCAATGACATAGCACTAAAACCATATAACTCCATTATATAATCCATTTGTGTAAATCGAATTTCCCAAACCTTCCAAACTTTTTTCTAAATTATGCCACAAGACACTATACTCAGTATAGTCGTTATTGAACTCCTCAGTACATTGGTGTTTTTTAAGGCATTTCATGTATGAATGGTAATGTTCTACCTTTTCATCTCTTGTTTATTGATCATATAAAAAGAAGTTCTTTAATTTAATGCTAGATGGTGTCTAACATGTACAGTTTTTGCTGGATCTGTTTGCATAATTCTCACAGCCAAATGTAAACAACATAAATGCTTAACCACTGTTTAAATTACTGCTCTGTTAAAACGTACAAATGACTTTCAATACATGTGTAAGTGTTGTCTTCCATACACCAGGTCTACCCCCTTAATGAGTGAGATATAAGACTGGTCGACTTGGAGTAAAATAATGTGTTTGAGGGGATGGGACTGACATGTACTATTGTTAACTTTAAATATCACCATCACCAAAAGACTACACTGTCAATATAAATATCTATCTCAAGGAAGTTGTTTGGTAGATATAGAATTCAATGTGGTTAAAATGATTTCATGCGTTCTACTTTTTATATGCGTTTGACAAATTGTCTTCCGTCATTAATCATGTAAATTTTTTGCAATTTTTATACGCCTTATGGTATCCTTTTGCAGGCTATTTTACTAAATTTTTATTCGAAGTGAACATTCACTTGTATTTTTGCAGCGATTTCAATATGTTAATAAAGCGCATGACATGTTCATGTACTTGTGTGTTTTATTTTATATTACATCTGATAACGATTGGGGAAATGGGAGGTTTGTTTGCACTTACATTTGGTCTGTTTTCTATACAGATATATTTAATGATATATAAAATCATAATCATGAATCTAAAACTGTCTCCCAAATATTTCCATAGAAAATTCAAAAAAATAACTTTGCTTGGAGATTCTTGACCAGAGCTTGCATAGAATGTTTGAAAATCTCAATAGTTTATAAGGAACTAGGGTATATTTTGAGAAAAATAAATTTTAATATGTGTAAATCTTTAAACTTAATTCGCAATTATAGTACCTGGCATGTTTGTAAATCGTTTATGTAAGATATGTCCAAATAGATAAGACAAAATGTAAAAGTAACAATTTAGTAAAACATATAGAAACAGTGTCAAGGTCTGGTAAGAAATACGATCCAATGTTAGTTCAACTGTTTAGTATTTTTTTGTTATTTTTCTTTGTCTTATTTTCAGATATGACACACTCGGCTTGTGCCTCGAAACTGTGCAAGCCTGTGCAGATTTCAGTACAATTATCAGGGCAAATAACGTTAGAAGGCGAATCTGATATTTTTGGAATAATTTCTATTTCGAAATCCAAATTGGTAGTTGCTGATAATTTTGGCAATATTTTAAAGATATATTCGGATGGCCAGTGCAAGCTTAAATGTCCTCTACTTTATAAAATAAATGGAGTAACCAGTGTTTCTGAAGATGTTATTGCAGTGACCCTTGTGAACAACAAAAACATTTATCTCTATACACTTGAAAACGACGGATGTAAATTATTGGATACAATTAAAGTCGGTTACAACATAGTTGATATAGCATCGGACAAAGATTATATAGTTTTCGAACAGAAGAATGAAAACACCAAACAGACATCTTTGAAAATATGGAATGTCAAATCAAAAATAATAGAGAATATCATAAATGTTCCTTATTCAAATTCTGGTTCCAATAAACTGGCACTTGACATGTCCTCAGAAACAATCTACGCATGCGCTGAAAATAGTGTGTTTGCTGTAAGCTTTAAAAAGGATAAAGATTGGAGCATGGTGGTTCCAGATCCAACAGCAATCGTTCTAGTTCAAGCTGGTGAAAATAATCGGATGGTTCTGGTATTGTACAAAAATCAAAACGAAATATATCGTGTGAGCAAAAATGAAGTTATTCGAGTAGAAAAAACAGAAGAAAAAGAAAAGAACGAGAAAAAACGAAAAGAAAATGGAGACGAAGAGGAAGAAGCAGGAAAAGTAGAAATACAAAAATCATCCACGTTTAATCGTATGACTTACAATGCCGAGCTTAAGCAGCTTTTTGTGCAGACTGCCAAAAATGTTATAAGCGTATATGACATTACATATTGATCGATATGGTTTAGTCAGTAGTCTTGTTGATGATTATATGTGATGTTAACTATTTGTCATTACTAACATTTAGAATTGTTTTATTACATGTAATGACATATTTGTCCATAATCCTTGTGTAAATTCATGTTGATGATTTCAAAAGAAAATTAGTTGTTCCTTAACAAGAAAACGATTAAAAGATTAGCAATTGAGATTGTTTTAATTTAGTAATTGGAACCGATACAGTGTTTTCGTCAGAATTTTCATGGACACTATAATGACCCATGTATGAAACAAATTAGTTTTTAATAGGGAAAGACCGACTGTCATATTAGATAAATCATTATACTGCAGATAAAACAATATCAAAACATTTGTGACTTGATTTTAGTTTAAAAATGACAAAACACAGCCCTGTATTTCAATTTGTTTTAATATAAACATGACAATGTGTGATTGTATTTCTTTAGAAGTTATTTGACAAAATTCTTTTTTACAAAATATCAAATTACCTGTATCTCATTGTTCCTTGTGTTGAAAACCGAACAAATTTTCAAAATAATAATAAGAAAAGGTGGGATGACTTCCAATGAGACAAATTTCGACCATAAACCAATTGACGTAGACGTTATCAACAATGGGTCACCGTGCGGTCTTTGATCATGAGCAAAACACATAAAACTTAGAAAGCTATAAAAAGCTCTAAAATGACAAATGCAGAAGCAACTAAATCAAATGAGATATATCTATCTGTCAACATGCAATCTAAAAGTCTGAGTTAAAGATATCCTTGCGCATCAATATTGTGCGAACACAGACAAACTTTCTAAAAAGGTGATCTCTCTTAATTATTGAAAACAACTGTCCTGTCAGGTCGTCTTCTTGTTGTCCATCTAAATTAATACCAACACAGTTGGATCATCATTTCAAAATTGATCTCTTTGATAAGTTTTAATTGCAACCATTGAAGTCAGCAGCAGGGTTTATATATATTTCCAAATAATTAGTATGGTCCATATTGTGAAGGAATCTTTTATACTTTTTCAAAAACAATAGCTTCAAACACTGTTTTCTAAACCATTATGAACAATTAATATAGATAATACTAGATACAGGTAAGTCTGCCTTATATGTCCTTAACCTTAACAATTGTCAATGAGGTTTGGATGAAATCAAAACATTACGATAAAAGAGATGATTTCAGCTTCTCAATTATGAACTTTTAATTTTGTGTAGCAACATTCCAGCAGTGCCTGCGTACGGAGTATGTATCTTCCTGTTGATACAATGTTCATGGGCTCGTATTACCTATAATGATATCCTAGATAAGTGGTTGTTGCTCAAAGGGAAGCAACTAAACCAAACGTTCGAAGTTGTGAAGTTGAAATCATTCCTAAGACATTTTAATGACACCTGAATGAAAAGGTTGAAAAAGAAAGTATCATCTGGGAGATATATTATCTTAAGGTGGGTGTGGTTAGGCTAATAACTTTTTTGGGGAGGGATAAATCCTACTTTGTAAAGAATCACTCTGATTCAAACAAAACATTCTCTAAAACTGACATTATCAAGATGCTTGATTTCTTGATTGACAACATATTTGTTACGTTTGGAGGACGTGTTTTTCAACAGACTGTCGGAATTCCAATGGGAACCAATTGTGCCCCTCTTCTTGCCGACTTGTTTCTTTATTATTATGAGGCTGACTTCATACAAGAACTTCTTAGGAAGAAAGATAAGAAGTTAGCAATATCCTTTAACTCTACGTTCCGCTATATAGATGATGTTCTCTCACTAAATAATACAAAATTTGGTGACTATGTTGAACGAATCTATCCAATCGAACTAGAGATAAAGGATACTACAGATACAGTTAAGTCTGCCTCATATCTTGACTTACATCTAGAAATTGACAATGAGAGTCGGTTGAAAACAAAACTTTACAACAAAAGAGATGATTTAAGCTTCCCAATTGTGAACTTTTCATTTCTATGTAGCAACATTCCAGCAGCGCCTGCATACGGAGTATATATCTCCCAATTGATACGATATTCCCGGGCTTGTGTTTCCTATCATGATTTGCTTGATAGAGGATTGCTGCTCACAATGAAGCTATTAAACCAAGAGTTCCAAACGGTGAAGTTGAAGTCAGCCCTTCGTAAATTTTACGGACGCCATCACGAGTTGGTTGACCGTTAAGGAATAACCGTTTCACAGATGATATCAGATATGTTCCATATGTCGTTACTACAATACACTCCCTTTTCATGAATGTGACTTACCGAATTAGACTATTTACCGGATTTGTAATAACATAAGCAACACGACGGGTGCCACATGTGGAGCAGGATCTGCTTACCCTTCCGGAGCACCTGAGATCACCCCCAGTTTTTGGTGGGGTTCGTGTTGCTTAGTCTTTGGTTTTCTGTGTTGTGTCATCTGCGCTGTTGTTTGTCTGTTTGTCTTTTTGTTTTTGGCCATGGCGTTGTCAGTTTGTTTTCGATCTATGAGTTTGACTGTCCCTCTGGTATCTTTCGTCCCTCTTCTCTAATAAATAAATGAAAAGTTTATAACCTGGAAACTAGAAAAAAAAAAATTTATGAATATATACCCTTCTTTTCTACGCAACCGTTTCCACAAAAATGTTTTATTCAATTACATGTATATGGTCCCTTCAAAATTCTGGTTGCAAATTGATAGATATAAAAAATAAATAGAAATGATATACTTACTGCCTGGTAAATGAGATGATTACAGCTGTACATTTCGGAAACATTGACATCCATGTACGTTTCGGCAATACAATTAATTGACAGGTTGTAGGTTAACCTATGATGACTAAGAGATCACTTTGATAGAAGACTAGACGTGTTCCTGTGTTGAAACATAGCTAATTGCTAATTGAAAAATCCAATAACAATGACCTTGACAATCTTGCGTTAAATAATTAAGACATATACTGCGGAAATTTTCCCTAATGAATTAACATTCAATACATCTAAAGAAAACTGTATTCACTAGTATTCTTTTGATCAAATACTTACATACGGGACTTTCTTACGAATTTTCTCGGAATGTGTATGGTTCTCTGGTTCCATTTTAGAGAATGACCATTTAACTTAGAGGTGTTGGGTAGTTATAATGAATTATAAAATAGTACTTGAAAACAATAAGCCCTTCCCGTTTCAGAGTTAAGTAATAGTTGTATTACGGTGTTGGATATCCGAACCAGTTTGCTATATCCGACTATTTACATACTTATTTTAACGTTAAATATGTATCACTGGTAACTTATCAAGCCAGAGATCACGGAGATTTAGTTACCACAAATATTTTGCCAATTTTATTATATTCTTTCACAGCTACACAGATTCGTTTGGACACAACATTTTTAATTTTTGGAGGGTTCATGTTACGTAGTATTTGATTACTGTGTTTTGTTGTAGCATCCATTAAATGCGGATACCCCTAAATTGAAAAGTTGTGTCAATATTTTTTTATTTTTTTTATTTTCTCTTCTGCTTAATTTTTGACAGATGATCAAAAAGTAAACAATTTTTAAAGTGTTCTAGCAAATTTTTAAATGTCCCTGAAAGTTATTGAAAAGTAATTCATTATTTAATGGCAAAAAAGAATTGTAAGACATTAAAGTGTCAGCTCAGGGAAGCATACACTAGTAGCAATATTTGAGTCTGAAACGGTCATTTTGGTCTGATCAAGTCTTAATCGACTGGATTTACTGCTAGAGAAAAACGTCAAGACTTTTTCAGACTTTCAGACGCTGTCACGATATACCGTGTTAAGTCCGTTCAGTCATGTCAAGATAAACAAGACAGATTGTTCTTGCATCCGATTAAGACTTGATCAGACCATGTTCAGATCAAATCAGACTAAAGGTAAAAATGCTGTTTAGACTTTTTAAGATCGTGTTCAGTCGTGTTAAGATTTTAAATATTCGGATGCAAAACGGGCGACACTTTCTCTGTGTTTATTAGGGGTTGTTTCCCTTTCGTGAATAAAAATCGGAAAAGAATGGAGGGTATTCTTTTGTGGTCTTTTAATGTTATGTTGTATGTCTATTAATTAAATAACGTTTGCAAAGTTGCAATTCATTTTTTTCCGATGTTATTTCACGTAAACATTTAATTGATTATATAAGAAAAGAATAATTGGTGTAACCGGAAAAGTGTGCAAGTCATAAAAACTTTGCAGTCGTGCTTTCTTGCATTAAGTAATTAAGTATTTATTCGTTCCGTCTGTAAAGATATAATGATTAGTAATAAAAATCAGAAATGTTCTTAAACACTTTTTCGTCTGTGATTTAAAATAATTGTTCTTACCCATATAAAATTAGTCAAGGAAAATATATTCTGAGTACCTTATTTACTTTATATTTTTCTAATTTTTGACAGATGACAGATGTTTGGTGAAAGTTATTTACATTTTAATATACGGATTATCTGAGCATTCAACCGAAACGGACTGTCAAACACTATCTTAATAATTATAAATACCCGTGCAACTCTGTGACTGTTTTATCCATGGAAGTTATGTGAAATATGTTGCCATGTTTTATCATATATAAGGATACACCGGATAAAATTATTACATTTACAAATTATACAACATTATTTCAAAATAAATGCAACAAGAATGCAAGCATATTTCAAAAATCTAGGTAACAGTTTATATTTAGTATAGGTACCTATAAAACCCGATTTTGATACTTCTCTGACCTTTTTAAGCATCAAGTCTTTTTTAACAAGAACTAAAAAAAAAAAAAGAATAAACTATATTATAGAAAAATTTAACATAGAATAAGTTATGAAACAATTTTTAAAAAGAAAATGTACATAATTATACATCTAGTTTACGGTTTATATTTCTGTTTCGTAGCAGATTTGTTTTATATAGCACCCGTGTTACTTCTCATTTCAAAAACAAAATGTCAAAGTGGCTTGGTGCCTTAACGGCTTCATGGTGCTTCAAAAAATATATCCTTCTAATGATTAAAATTTAATAAATCTTCATTTATCAAGGCTAATGAACAATTTCCCAAACTGTAAAAAGAAAATATGTAATAAAAAGTAATTATTTCAAGATTTGTCTCTTATATAATCAATCAATTGTCAACAAATTATATGTGACTTTTGTCCTATCAAATTTGTAACTTTCTCTCCTGTGACTTTCTTTCCGCTGTCCGTTAGAAAGGACCTCCCGCACTCAGGGAGAGAAAACTGCCAAGACTACCCATGCTAATTGTTAGATAGAATAATAAGTACATCAGTCATTCTCAATTTTATATTTATATAATCAAAATATGCATGCTGGTGCTTAAAAAAATCTGTTTCAAATGTTTAATTTAAGGAATGCTCTGATTTCAAAACTTAAATCTTCCTCTGTTGCTTTCGA